TGCCACACCACAGAAGGGACTGATCCACAGCAGAAATTTATTTTTAATCCCGTGCTACTCTACTGAGGCGAAGGTGGTGCTGTCACAGGTGGCACGCCTACCACACGCGGTCCACGGATCAAATTCTGGATCGCCTCCATTCCTGCCATATAAAGCCTTCCACCTTCCGGGAGCGACAGATTGCAAACAGGTTAGCCTAGGAAAATAAGAGAGCTGACTTGTGCATCGGTTTGCCCCGCATTGTATAGGCCACATAGTATTCAATAACCCACTACGAATTTGAATGGAAGTAGAATGCGTGTCGCATTTCAAAGAGGGACTGACCCACACCAGGGTTTTTTTTAAATTTTTTTATCCATTACTGTTTTATTGTAAGAGGGGAGTCAGTTATCATGGATTTCGCCGAATCGGCTAATGGACTCGGATTAGTTACCGTTCCTTACGTGCAGTAAAGTCAGTGTACCATATTTCAGGTTTATGGCCCTGAAAACGGCTCTTCGTGTACGAACTGCCGCTTTACGAAACGCCCTTGCCGACTTTGGACCTTCATCAGAGCACTTCCTCAACCATAGTGTGTCGCTGCCTTGGCAACGTGCCATCTCCAAAACCAATCAGCTACCGTACTACATCGAGTAAGACAACTTTCATTACATTTTATTTTTATGGCGATGAAATTATTTCCCACCAATTTCCAGTCACAACCTGAACCACTGAAGAAGACTCAATGGGAACATCCAGTGTGGGTGGAAATGGCAAAGGAGCTGTCGCAATTCAATCGAGTGAAATTCATTGCATACAGAACGGCAATGAAACTTCGGGCGCTTCAAAAGCGACTTTGCCTCGATCTTGTCGACATTCCGATGCTGGAAAAAGTAAGTTAGGGAAGGTTTCAGGTAATGTCCCCTAAGACATTGGGAAGTGACACGTGAAACTCGATAACTCGAAATCCTGAGATCGGGTAGGCGTGGCTGCGTACTTGAGTTTAGAGTGACGGCGGCTCGGGTTTTCAGGGCGATGTTTTCATTTTGGAACAGTTGTAGTCATGTCTCAATCTAAAACAGCAAAACGGCAGTTGTCTCAAATTGAAGTATATCACGAGTAACCGCCTTTTCTGTGGCCATGCTCAAAAGGCACGCTAACTTCTGTCTCCAGGATAGAGGATTGTGTGTCGTCGGGGGGACGGGGGGTCAGGAGGCATGGAGTACCGCTTTTTGACCAATGGGTTTTTTTTTCTTTCTGAATCGATCCTTAACCAATCACTTATGATAGAAAAAGCAGCCGTGTCCGCCCCGACTCATTGCATCGATATCAGCTATAAACCCCTTGTTGGGGCATCTAGCGCGATCGTGTGGACCGGTGCTAATTATCCCATCGGCCAGTCGAATGAAAATCGTGCTCGATCACATAATTGCGGTTGGCGAAGTTGGGAGAATGTTATAATTGTGGTGCGGAGAATGGGAGCAGAGCGCATCATCACGAAAAGGAAGTTTGTCTACATGGAGCCACTATTCACCCTCCTCATTTCCTCTAACATCCCCAATTCTCCATCGTGAGAGGTTATATATAGTTGATATCGTCGCAGTTGGTCGGAGCGGTGTCAAGAGGAGCGGAATGAGTCCGCCCCGGCTGCCTTTTCTACCAATAGTGATGCCAACATCAGTTAGGGACCGGTTCAAAAGAGAAACAACCGGTGGTAGAATACGCTGCGGGTGGACTGTTTCCATACCTCTCGGCACCGCCCCGACTGATTACCACGATATCAATTGTACCAATCAATACATAATGACCGATTTTGCCCTCCAGGACATATATAGTGCGTTGCAAAAAGAAATAAAAAGTCAGCAAGCCATATGCAGGCCCAGTTCCTGAAAGCCGTCCCCCTCCTCGGTTGGGATTCTCGTCGATAATTTGCTCTGGAGGGTGAAAATCTGTGAAATTCAGATGTTCTCTTTGAGAAATTGCTTTTGTCACGCCTGTAGAGTTCTAGAAGTTGGTCCATATCATAGGGATGCGCCACGCATCCGACTTTCACCTCTGAGACCACGGGTAACCAGAAGGTTACATAGTTCCAATACCATTCGCTATGGTGGCGAGGAGCACAGCACATAGAGACATTGGCACCTATATTCTACAGACTATCCCGATAGAAATAGGTCCTTCCCGAAAGAGAAAAGGGCTCAGTTCACCCCTCCCCCACTGGATTCAATCCTTTTGATGCTACTACCCGATTCGGCGAATCTATACATACCGTCTACTTTGCCTAGGCAAATATGTAAATCATCGTAATTTGTATTTTTAGTGCTTCTCTCGTCTTGCCGGGTTGTCGAATG